AAAAAAAAAAAACGCAATTCTACATTTCTATGTGAAGCAACATTACAACAGATGTGGCGTTTTTGCGCACCTTACTCAGAACCATCGGGAAAAGGACCCAAAGCGTCTTCCTTCCCATTCACATAGTAATCGACAACGGCCATCATTCGTGAAAGCTTATCCGGATGGTAATTCAAGTGTACAATCACCGGCTTAAGCCGCGTAAGTTCAAGATCCTTCCTCACTGTCTTAAATAGAACCTTACTATTCATAAACAAATAGTAATCCATCGTCCTTTTCGATGCGTGGAGCCCCTCGTAACCGGGATAAGACGGGTAAAAGAGCTCCTCGTTAAAAGCAACCTGGTCCGACTTGTCCTCCCGTGCTAGTCGGCCCGCCACACGATCCAAAAGCTCTATAGAGGGGATTGTTGGCCTTATGTAGAAAAACCCCGAGTTGTAAGCCCATATCTTCATTGTGAGGGCCCAACGGGCCCACCCCATGGTGGGATCGTAAAACCCGTAATCTTCGCCATAAGCCGTGTAGTTGTCGTGCCCGTCGGTCATGGACTCAATGTCCGAGTCTCTATAGAGATAATCGAACGGGTTTTGTAGGTAGACTATGTCGACATCCGAGAGAAGCACACTGTAGCCCATCACGAGAAATTCCCTTAGGATGCGGAATTTCAAACCCGAGACGGCGTGGCTAAGGTCCGTCCTAGCAATGGATTCGAAATTCTTGAGAATTTCTTTCGCGTCTTTCTTGTAGAAAGGGACGTGTTCCGATTTGCAAAAATTCGCGATATCTTCATCCAAAGCATAGACTAGGTAATTAGTGATTCCCACGCGTTTTACGTTCGTGAACCAAACTCGCAACGTTTCCTTGACGTTTGAATCCGCGAGCGCGACAATGAGTTCGCGGTTTTTGGCGACCTTTGCGAGTGTTTTGGCAAGTTTAGGGTTGATGGACTTATCGGGAGTGATTGTGGGGTTGGTTGGGGATGCTTTGACGGTGCCAAACGGCCCCGGTCTTTTGCGCTCGTTCAAAGATAAGACCTCTTTTTGTGCATTGTCTTGTTCTTGTTCGGCGAGGCGGAGCTTCTCGGTCAACTCCTGAATTTGCCTTTTCAACTTTGTGTGTTCTTCGGAGATAGAAACAAACTCGGACTTTAGCATGTTTACTTGTACGGACGACTCACATGAGAAGGTAGTAGCCTGCAATACCATGGATCTTTTTTTAAATCGTAACAATTCAGTGAAATTGGAGTCATAACATAAGATGAATAAGAATTTTGTATTTACTTGAATCTACTCGATAAGCTTTTGGGTAGATTTTTAAATAAGCTCGTTGAAATTTTTATTTCATCTAACTTATCATTTAATTTTACCAAATACTCTTATGATATAAGTCATTTTCAGCTATATAAGCTATAAGCTCAAAAATCACTTATAAACTATTATTACCTATTAGCTAGTTTTTAGCGTAGGTCTCACTTGTTCATACTTCAGCAAACATTGGTTCTATAAAAAACGAAACAAAAAACACGGTTATATGTTGGCATGATATACGGATTTTCAAATCGAAAGTTACGACACATAAATGAAAATTTCACATAACAGCCTTTCAAAAAAAAAAAAGAATTAAATTAAAATAAAACTAAATTGAAAAGAACCTCCAAAGCCAGCATCCATATCGCATAAAACTGCTTCTAAATCATCACAATGTATACCAAAATTTCGAAGTCAAACGCAAATAAATTTCCATAGTCAACGCTGAAGAAAAGAAAAAATCAATGTCACACACAAAAAAAACGCAAGAAGCTTAAATAATGGAATTAACTGAGTAACGAGAAACAGAACCTCCGTATCGGCGATCGCGGTCGCGCGGCGAACGTGAGGCAGCACGACGAAGAAGCCGCCGGGGTAGAGCCAGGCGAGGACGCCGCCGAGGAAAATTCCGGCGAGTATCGCGGCGGCGAGTCTGGATAGGCGGAGCGACTGGAAGGGGCCTCCGACGTCTTTCTTCATCAGGCCACTCTCTCTGCGAATGCTGATCGTGTTTCTTCACTCTCCGATTGAGAGAAACTAGCGATTTTTATAGCATTAATTGTTTTGGGAGTAAAGTGAAAGGAACAAAGAGAAAAAATCAGTTGAAGATACGAAGTGATGAGCAAAGATGACCTTGTGACAGATTGAGGAGAGAAAAGGTGACGAGTTTTTCTTTTATTCAATGATTAAGATTTCATTATTAACTTAAAGTCGGAAGTTATAATGAAATTTTTGTTTGTGTCACAATATATCGTAGGCTTTTAGAGCATATGTAATGTGGCCAGTAAAAATTGAATTAATTTGACTATTATGATCAAGATTCACTTAGAGAAAAAAAATAAATAAATATATAAAAAATTAAAAATAAAGTGGGAGTTCGACCTTATTTCATTTTTGGATGAGTTTGTGGAGTAATCAAAGGGATCGTGTCTGGTTTCAGTCTTTCGAGTTCATGTTCGATTAAAATTTAAAATCATATTCATTGAAATAATTTAGTAAACAAACTGGCTAAAATTGGTTAATTAACTCGAGTTTCGTTCAAGCTCGGGACATTTTATATTGTATATATATATATATATATAGGTATTGGTAAATATAATTTTCTATTAAAAATACTGTACATATAAATACAAATTTAAATAAAATAATATGTTAAATTAATGTCCGTGAACATTCACCTTGGTGAACAGGCTCCTGCACGATCGATTAGAATAGGTCTAATTTTTGTTCGAACTCCCCTAGATAATTAAAAAATAAAAATAAAAAAACAATAAAAAAAATCAGAGACTTCAGATCCAGCTACAAAAGAATGCATAAATACTCAATTCCTAAGAATTCTATGGCTTTTCTGATAAAGAAATATGTTGTCAATCTTCATCTTCATCTGACTCTGAAGTTTCCTCTTGTTGGGAAAGACCCTCGATTGCAGGCCTGTTTCCCTGACTTTGCCTCGGGTGGATGATTTCTCGAACGGCAGTATTAGCTATTTAGCAAGAAAAAGATATGAGAATGTTGTTCACAATCAAACATTTTATGTTCTATCTTAACTATTAGCCTATTACTATCTTTCATAATAGAGCTACAAACGAACCGAGCAACTCACGAGTTGCTCGCGAGCGCTCGAGTCAAAGCTCGGCTCGAGCATGAGTTTGACTGAAATCGAGCCGAGCTCGAGCGGCTAGCATGTTATCGAGTCAATCTCGAGCATAGGTTTTGGAAGGTCGAGATATCATATATGTAGTGAATCACTAAAATACCCCTTATATATAAATAATATTATATATGTACTTAATGGTAATTTTACTTGAAATCGAGTCGAACTTGGCTCAAGCTCGAGCAATCTTTCGAGCATTTTGATTTCAATCGATCACGAGCCGAGCTCGAGCGGTTGTATTCTTTTGTCGATTTGTAAATCGAGCTCATTGAGCTCGAGCAGGTAAAAAAAAAATCAATCTTGCTCGATAAATCTTATGCTCGGCTCGGCTCGTTTGCAGTGTATCACATTGGTGCGAAATTCGTATAAAAGAAACGAGTATCAATGATACAATTGTAACTGCGAACACTATTCTATTTTTTTTTTTTTTACTTAGACTATAGTACTGCAGGAGTTCTAGTCTTCTTCTTTCTTTTTTTTTTTTAATTAACCTTGAATGAATTGCAAACTTCAAACCAAGCACAACGAGAATATGCACCTGACAACAAAATCTTGATAATGAGCTTCCTTGCAATCAGAAATTCTGTTTCGTGGTTTTTGACGAATTTCACCTATGGGAGCAGAATAATGCAATATTGGTTATTAAACTACAAATTTATTCTACATTTTAACAAGTTAAATGAAAATAAATACCATTTCATAATAAAAGAAACCCACGGGTCGATCAAGTTTTGATTGATGTCTTAAGAGGAAGGGTTGCAAGTAGTTCGTATAAAGCTGCTTTGCCCCCTGCCAGAATACACCAGTTCTAGAACTTTAACAAGCAAGAGAAAGCATAAGACTAAATTCAAAATCTCATATTATTTTCGGATCTTTCAAAATTCTAAAAGAAACTTGCAGACATGAGTAATTCGTTTTGACTCTTCAATAACAAAAAGTAATCATAAAAATAATGCAGAACAAACTGCAACAAGGTTGAACACCATAATCTACAGTCTTAAAAGTCCTCTGCTGCACACCACTATTTAGCAGCCCAGAAAGTTAGTTCAAAAGTTTAACGGAATTTGTTAGCAGCATGATTTATATTCAAGTACGACTCGGGTAAGTCCTTGAAAATGAAAAAAAAAAAAATAATAATAATAATAGTAAAAAATTAAATGCAACAATAAGCTTGGCAAAAATAAAAATGACTTACGTCAACATATGGAAGTTGCATCCACACAAGAAATGCAAACTTCATTTGATAGTAGAGCGGACACCTGATAAAATAAAATAATGCACCAATTTCCAATTCATGAGTAAAAACTAATAAGTCAATCGATGAACAAACTAATACATCAACATCAACATGTGTTGATCCCAGTATATTCCCAACAGGTTGGGGTCTGGGGGGTCAATTGTACGCAGACCTTACCCTTATAATTATACAAGGAGGCTGTTTCCATAGCGACCCAAGGTGCGTTGCGTCGTTTGATATATTTTTTCTAGAAACTTCACTAATAGAAGAAGCACTAGAATTTAATTGAGCCATTTTGATCTAGTCCGTTATTAGCACTATGCCAGGAGAATTGTCAACAATGACTCTTCCAGCTCCATATGCAATGGACATCGATGAACAAACTAATATAGGTTAAAATTTCAGAAAAACTGAGAAGTCGTGTGAGTGTTATCATAACTTTTAAATTTATTTATTTCGTTTTTTTCTTTTCTCTCTTTCCTATCAGGATCATCAGAGGGAGTTAAGAATTAAGGCATGGATAAGTACCAGTAAAGTATCTTATCGATGAACACCTCAGCAAGACTAAAGCATCCATAAGCTGCATGCAGTAAGCACAAACCAAGATAAGAATAATAATACATTAAGGTACAGTCTACTTCACATAAATGATCAAAATATCCAACTTCCTTTCTGTTTATCACATATCAACATCTCTCATTGGAGGTCTAATTCAATTCTGCAAGATTCCAATATGGTAGAAATTCAATCAGTAATTAAAGCTAGTGAATGTTTTTAAGGCATCATCACTAACCGGCCCAGTACATAAGCCATTTATGTTCTTCATTTTCATCCCTTGCTTCAATGGCCTTGAACGTAGAATAAACGGGCAAGACAACTCCCACTGAACAACTGCCCAAAACAAAAAATTAACAATGAAATAAGAAAAAATGAAAAGAACATGGTATCTTCAAAATGTTAACAGTCATGAAAAAAACCCACCATGCCGTTCGGACAACCACATTAGAACCGAGAGGGCAAAGAAGCAATCGCAACCCAACCTGCAAGAACTTGGGGCATAAAAATTCACATAATTCCAATCCTAGTCTTTATCATTGAATCACCAAAGGGTAAAAAACCAGCTCTCAACGGTAGGTTCGAATTTTTTTCACAAATAACCTCAATTAGCTAACAACAGTGCAGAAAGAAAACAATCGAGCAAACACAAGTATCGGACACCATTGATTCCCATACACCATTAATCATCATCACAGTAATCACACACAGAGAGCAATTCGACCTAATTTACTCGATTCACTTCCAACTTTATGATTCGTATATCGAAATTTAAATCTGTAGCCAACGAATTAAACAGAAAATTGCACAGTACAGCTACAAATTCCTTCATCTTCAAGCTGATATCATGACAAATGAACTAATACATGAATCTGTCGATTTCAGAATAACAGCAAATAATGGCTATAAGAGTGAAAATGTAACCATACCTCGCCGGACATGATGGACCCAAACAGAGACATTGCCGGCGAACACAAACTGCTTATTAAAGAATTTCGATTCGTTCAGCAGCGGTAAACTCAGAAGGTATCAGCTGGAAACAGAGCTGTTTTAGGTTGCGATTGCAATATTTTATTTTATTTTTCTTCTATTATTTCTGCACGTGCGAGAATATTGTTTTATTTAATATAGAATTTATATTAAGATTTATTTATATTTTAAAAACACATTTAAGATAAGATATATATATAATAAAAAAAAAAATCTTTAGACTTGGAAGAAAATTAGCTACTTTTTTGGGATAAAAGAAAACGGATTTGCTATGAAACCAACAGTTGGCTTCATAGTGGAGCCAACTTTCTATATACAATAATTAAACTTATTATATTCTTTGATTACTTAAATAATATTAATATAATTTTGTTAATATGGTAAATTTATTTATTGTATATAAAAAATTGACTCCACTATGGAGCCAACGGTTGGCTAAACCGTTTTCTTTTATCCCAAAAAATACTAAATAAGGTGAAATAAAATAAAGTGTTCCCCTCTCAAGCTAAACTGTACCCATTGCCAAGACCAAAAGCCCTAAGCCGCCAACAGCCGCCCTCATACAAGCTATCAAAAATTCAAAACAATTCTCACTAACACACACACTTTGAAGCCATCCATCCCAAGTATTCAACCAATCCACAAAACTCTTCATCGCCTCTAACAAGAGCCTCAACAAAACCATCTCAAAAAATTAAATTTAAAAATATATAAAAAAAAAAAACATTATACCATCAATACATAACTATCATCTACACAATCCTTATCACACATTTCATCAATCAAGAATCCCAAAACACCATCCAAACCCTCAGCTTCACAATGCAACCTATCACCACTCGTAAACACACGAAGCCCGTTACCGGCCCGAACCCAACTGCAGCCCGCGAGCTTCTTCGCCTCCATCTCTCTTATCCTCCTCATAACCCTCCCCTTCTCTTCCCACTCGCCACCCGACGCGTACACGCTCGCCACCTGGAAATACCTCGCCCCGTCAGCACCCCTTTCCACCTCATCCAACTTCCTCTCAGCCATTCTCGCCAGCTCCACATTTCGGTTCTCCCTGCACGCGTTCAAGAAAGCACTAACCATGATCGAATCCGGCTCGAAAGGCATCTTATCCATGAAGTCAACCGCCTTTTCAAGCATGTTTGACCTCCCGTACAAGTCGACCATGCACGCGTAGTGGTCCATCTCGGGGGCAATCCCGTAATTTTCCTCCATCTCGGAAAAATACTTCTCGCCGGCCTCGACAAGTCCACAATGTCGGCATGCGGATAAAATCGCGATATACGTCACGGCGTCCGGTTTGTGCCGCCCGTTTCCAGTCATCTCCTCGAAACACTCGATGGCCTCGCGTTCGAACCCGTGATGAGCTAGACCCGAAATCATGACGTTGTAAATGACGGTGTCTCGTAAATCGACGCTTGGAAAAATTCTCCGCGCGTACAATATGAAGCCACACTTTGAGTACATGTCGATCAAGGCACTTATAGTTTTTTTCTCGTCCGTTTGAATACCGGTTCTTAATATATACGCGTGGATTTGTCTTCCCGGGTCCACACTCGCTTGTGTGGCACACGCACCGAGTAGGCTAACAAGAATCACGCCATCCGGAAAAAACCCGTTTTTTTCCTCTCGCGCGGTATACTCGCGGAAAAGATCAAAAGCCTCGTCGCATTGTTGTAGCTTCACGTGACCGGAAATTACGGCGGTCCACACGACGAAATTCTTCTCGGACAACGAATCGAAGAGTTTCTTGGCTTTCGACATTTCGCCTCGTGTCGAGTACCCAACAATCATCGAAGTCATAGCAAACACGTTTTCCACACCAATAGACTCGTTCACACGCTCGGCGTAACTCATTTCACCACATTTGCTGTAAATATCGACAATTCCACTACTTACGAACGGGTTCAAAAACAACCCGTTTTTAAGGACACGCACGTGAACTTCTTTCCCAAGATTCAAGCTTTTCAAACAGGAACAGGCTGCGAGTAAACTGGCGAACGTGTGCTCGTTCAATTCGATTCCTTTTTCAACCATGAGCCTGAATAACTCGACCGCTTGCGATTCGAACCCATTTTGGGCATACCCCGATATCATCGTGTTCCAAGAGACACTATCGTTCAACTCCGGATTACGTAAAAATATCTCGTGCGCCATTTTCATCTCCCCTTCTCTACAACAAGCTGCCACGAGCGCATTTTTCACAACCAAATCAACCCAACCTCCAAACCCACATCCATTAACAACAACAACAACTTTAGAAGCATCCAAAAAGCTCCCGCATTTCGAGTACATGTCGATTAACGAGCTCTGCGCGAACCCGCTCGAGTCATTTCCGGTTTTTACCATATACAAATGCACCTGTGTCCCGTAACGCAAGATTTTCACTTTCGCCGCAAGATTAAGCATTGTGGTGAGGGTAAACTCGTCGATTAGTGAGGGCCCGTCTCTTTCAAGCTGCATTCGGGCGAACAACTCGATGGCCTCTGTTTCGTGGCCATCCAAACGGGTGTAGCCGGAGATCATGGAGTTGTACGTGACAGAGTCTCGATAAGGGGAGGACTCGAAAAGGGCCCTCGCCGTGCGGAGGTTTCGGGACTTGATGTAGGCGTTGATTATGGTGTTCCAAGAGAAAACGTTTCGGTGGGGCATTTTGTCGAACAGGTTGCGGGCATCGTCGGTTAAGCCGTGTTTGGAGTAGAGGTTGATGAGCTGGTTGGCGGCGACGGTGGTGGAGAGGCGGCCGGAGGTTATGGCGCGGGCCTGGAGCTTCAGGCCCTCCTTGAGCGACCTCATTTACATGTGAAAATATGGGTTGTAATAGATCATCGGAATTTGCAAATTCAAAAATTTGGACATGTCTACTAAATTATATTAATGTTAATTATTATTATTCATTGTACTCGCTTTTCGTTTATTATCTCATTAACATAACTAAAAATGAAAATTAAATATTTTTTATTTTTTTAATGCTATTTATCACTTACTCACATATTTTTAAATATATCTCATTTTTAATTAAATTTAATTTATTTACATTTAAATATTATATTTGTGATGAATGCTCCTTACTCACGGTGGACACATGTTAATATGTTCACCACTTAAGTGTCATGCACACATTGGTTATGTATGTCACCTAAGCGGTGCCATGTAAGCGGTGGACATATTAACATGTATACACCGTGAGTAGCGGAACATTATTTTTATATTTATATTTTCAGTATTTTTCTTTAACGAGAATGTAGTCATGGACTAAATAAAACAAAAAGTGAGAAAAGTAAATTGGGTTCGTTTTTGGGTTTCTTTATATTTTTTGATCTAAGGCCCATATGCATGAAGTGTGGATATGAAGTATATTATTGGGAAATTTTTACATGTACTTACAAATTTTTAAGTAATTGCGAAATTACCATCCAAATAAAAATATTTGTTTATATACCTAATATATAAAAAGTATTTATAAGCATGCCTAAAAAACCGTTTCGTGGATTGTGAACAGTTACGTGGATGCTGAACACTTTCATAATTTTAGGGGCACAATATCAGCTTTTCAAATATTGAAAAGATATTATATTCGAATGTTAACTGCATAATCATCATTTGACCGCATGTTGTTACAATAACAATACAATGTTATGTAACAAGACATATAACCCTACATATATACCAGAAATATACCAGAAACAGAACATAACCAGACATGTAACCCTACATATATACCCGACATATACCAAAAACTGAACAATGTTCTGTAACCGAGCATATAACCGTAACATATATACCATATATATAACCGTTATATATTCTATCATAAAACATAACAAATATACCAATTCACAGTGAACACAAGATAGAAAAAAAAAATAAAAAAAAAGCAACTTATATACACTTTGATATACCGAAGATATACATATAACAAAAAAAAATAATAATAAAAAACCGAAAAATATACTATACATATACTCCAAAATAAGTGAAACGAAAAAAAATCTAAGAAATCATCTTCTTCAACCTCCCGCAAAACTTCTCATAAATATACTCCCTCCCCGTCCTAAGATCCGAATTCTCCTCTCCTCCACCTCTCGGCGTCAGCACCCTTCCAATCTCCCGCAGCGATAGCGGCTCTCCGGCAGCGGCTTCACGGCTTCAATCTCAAATTGTTTTTTTTATCAATCTGGGGTGCTTCTTCTTCTTCGTTCGCCGTTTTCTTCCGTGGATCTTGGGAGATTTTGATTTACGGGAGGGAAGTTTTTTTTTTCCTTCTGCAAGAGGTTTCGATTTCCCGAGGATCGCGTCCTTAATTATCTGATATAAATGCAACTTCTCATTTTTAGGTAGATTAGCAATATTTTACGGTTTAATTGGTGATTATATAAATATTTAAGTAATGGTAATAAATTTATAATATATTAGGGAAGAGGAAGTATGGGGTGCAATTTCCTCTATATTATTATGGACGTATATTATTATGGACCGGAGTCTCTTTGGAGCCCATTTACTAAAACATGCACCTTTTAAAAAAATTATATTAAAATAAAATTATTATAGTAAAAAAAAAATGCATTTTCATCATCCCTGATATTATATATATATATATATATATAATTAAGAGAGACATAAATCATTAAATGGTGATTGAAATTCCCATGAGAAACCAACTTCTTAATATAATCCCCACATTTTATGCATTCATGTGCACTAAAAAAATTTAGATTTTATTCATAAGTTTCTTAGATAATTTTTCAAATACGTTAAATGAATGATATTTGACCTTATTTATAACTAATTTTATCTACGACTTTTATTATATCATTTAATTCTTCAATCGTCAGTCATATAAACTATCAACTATAAATTTGAAATTCATGTATGTAACGACTAATAACTAACTTATTAGTGATCAGTTAAATTTATCTAATATACATTCACGAAAAATCCAAAATAATGAAATCATCAAAACTTTATAAATGATCGATGTATATAAAAATAATTCTAAAAAAAAAATAATTAAATGAAAACTATATAAAATGCTCAATAAATATAAAAATAATTCTAATGAGCTTGGATATAAAAAGTCAACTTTTTGGACTTAAAGACTATGGACTAGAACAGCATGGATGGCCCAAAACGAAAGATGAGTCCACAATATCCAAATATTAAAAAGTTATTAAATAATGGATCAACATAAAGTTGATATAAGCATTGACTTCTGTGTTAACTACAAACCAGAAAAAGGAAATATCTTGCGGTCCACCAACGTTATCATTTAGTTAGAAATATCTTTCTCTTGAGCTTTTTAAGATTGTTTTTTTGATTTTTTTGGTTTTGTGTGGAAATTTTTGTTAAAGGGCTTCTATTATTATCTTAATAATATAATATTTGTAGTTTGAATGAGTCCGTATAAGACAAAGTTATAATAAGAACAATATCGCTTTTATAGAAAATACTACGATCTCGTTACGGAACTATTCTGTTGGGTTTGTAACCGTCAAATCATCATGTAATCGTCAGGAATAATTGATCTAACGGTTACAAACCCTGAAACGATGATTCTGATGCGAGACTGTAGTATCTCCTGCTTTTATATAAAATGTAAAGTGACATAATTTTTATTTTAAAATACTTTTACATTATTGTGAAATACGCATATTTTATACCTAACTCAATCAATTTTTTAAAATTCACGACCAATATATATTCAAGCACACCCTTTTAATAGTTATTCCCAATAGTATATATATATATATCAGATTATTTTTGTTACGTTTATTTGATAAAAATAGTGCAATTATCTTTTATTTGATAAAATTGTGATGAGCTTATTATTTGATCAATATACTACTATACTTGAGTGCACGAATCATATGTAGCTAGGCTTTTCCGTTTGAAAATTGATAAGCCATTTTAATGAAGGAAAAAAAAAAAAAAAAAATTAGTGCCTCACACAACAAATATTTCTATAGACAAATATGAATGGTCTAACAATTAATCGGGTCGACGACCATCGTATTTTTTTCCCTAATAATCTAAAATCAATTTTTAAAAAATAAAAATAAATGGTAGAATCGTAACCATAGAATGTAATTCTGGTCGAAATGCGTACATTTGGCTCGTTCGGTATGGGATACTGATAAAGAGATATATTTTATAATTATAAATACATTTTTTTTTTTCTTTTATTGTAATCCTACTTTTATTGGAAATGTCAATTTTTCTGACTCAAAAGTGTTGAAAAAAAATTAATCTCTTCCACAATTTCTCATGTTGAAAATGTCAAAAGATTTGTTTGGGCCAAACAAGCCAACATCACTAGAAAAGTGTGGGCAATGTTTTTCTTATAATTATTGGAACAGAGCAAGTAGACATTAATTATTTGCACCCATATGTTTCAATGAATCAAATCCAAGAGATATGGAAAAATACATCAATTGATGAAAAATAATTCCAAATTTCTTAATCACACCCAACTAACCACATTTTTTTTTTTTGCCCCTCCATTTTTGTCTCTTGTAAGATTGTCTTAGTGTAGATCTTGATGAAAATGTGAATGAAATCATTTTAAAGCTTGGTCAAATTGACACTCAACTATAAATTATTCGGTTTCTAGAGATGTTATTCGAGTCGGGTCGAAGTCCGAGTTCATAATATTCATCCCGACTCTGAAAATCGTGTGATTCATCAATTTGTCTTTCTGAAGATACGTTTGTTTATAAATTATTTCGAACTCACATAAATGCTATAAAGTCATCGAATGGAGCCCTTATAGAGTCATTCATAACTTTATGCATTGACAAACGTCCAATGTGTATTTATTACATGACACGTGTCAGTACACCTTTTGTGAATAACTATGGATGACTCCATAAGCCGAGCCATCCGATGGCTCCATAGCAAAACCGTTTCAACTTATACTCAATTGATGCTTAAAATTCAATTCAATTTTAATTCAGTTACCTCGCTATTCCCAATGTTATTAATATAATTAAATAATAATCAATAATTTTTACACATCACATTAATTTAAATTTACTATTATTTATCCACTCACATAATTTTAATTATCAATCACTTAACATCATTTGTCTCGTATTTTTACATCAAATCAACTTTAATTAGTTTATTTTAATATAAATTCAAAATTCCACTACCGAAACAAACTTTTTTAAAATTAACCATAATTAACCAAAAAGCCCCGTTTTGAGCTGATATATTTGTATCCAAACACGCTGTGAGTGTTCCTTAACTAGAATAAAGATAATTCCATCACCGTGATAGAAAACAATATTGATGCATGCTTCAAAAACTTTATAGCTTATAGCAAGTAGATCAAACTCAATATTTCAACAGCCTAAGTCAACTAAATTTTCGAAAGAAAAATAAAATAAAATAAGATCGAGCCGATTTCGAGCCAAGATTTGTGTATTCACGTATTTTTATTGTGTGACTACATAATGGTTAGATAATCATATTTTTTCAAAAAATAAGAAATTTAAATGATACTTTTGCTTTTAAAATATTTTAACATATGACAATTGAATATAAAAGTATGTTAATTTATCGAAAACATATGACTGCGTAACCATTAGACAACCTAACATCAAAATTATCTTATTACTTTTATGTATGTAATGTTTTATAAAATAAGCAAATTGATACACCAAACCATACCACAATAGATATAAGAATGAAATATGGCAAAAGGACGAGGACATTTTGCTAATTATTTATTTGTCCCAATTACTTAATGAGTGACATTGTCATATTTTAGTTTACTTTTTAGCTCTTTTCTTATG